AGATGTGTATAAGAGACATATTTGTTACTATTTATTATTATATCATTATTAACGTCGCTGTAAATATATATCGGCATATGTATAATGATACATTCTTGGACAGGTTTATTTCATATTTATTTATTCGTATAGTCTTGATTTTGTTTTATTTAAAAAAATAAATCACAATACCTATATGTATATAAAATTCATATGCATATAAAGATATCGACAATATTTATTTGGAATCATAAGACGTATTAAGCATAACTCTTTATTAGGTATATATAGTTAATAGGCCTATTGGATTTTACTTTAGGCTTAGGATTATGCGAGGGTATCGTGTATGTTTATTTTTCATTTTAACTTATAAATCATAGCAGCAAATAGTGGAAATAAACAAAAACAAAATCCATTGTAGTCCGCCCGACATCCACGTACATTAGTCCACGCAACATACATCGCACCACACTCTATAAACCTCTCATTATCAAACCTGTTGCAATGTTAAATAAAATATAAACGAAAATTAATTACAATAATATCTGAAAAAAAACAACATACAAACTAGGTCAAAATTATTTGCGTAAGTCAAGCGCGTCATTGTCTATAAACTGCTATCAACAGTATTTCAAATAGCAGTTTTATGGGGGCATACTCTACGTAAGATAATTAAATAAAGGTTATTATATTCCAGACTAATAATAAAAATAAAATGTTTATGGAGGTGTGTTTTTTGGTGTTTGATGTGTTCAAATTCTTTAGAGAAATCTTATGAAATTTAAATCATTATGTCTAACACGATTGTAATAGCTCAGATTTTAGAGACAATAGTCGGCAACAAGTACATACTTTTGTGTACAGTTTAATTTGTACTAATTACTTTTTTATAGTCATTCTTCATCAATATATTAAATATTGTATTTTAGTATTGTTGTTGTATACTATAGGTCCTGCAAACATTTCTATGCATAATTATTGCTTCTTATATTATTATTTTATAATTTTAGTATTGGTTTTATCTTCATTATTATTATTTATGGATATGAAATCCTCAATTGAAGGAAATATTTAGTGAAGAAAAATCACTCAATATTGTCGAATCTCCAGGCAATGAGCGCGCAGTGAATTGGCGTATATATTAAGTTAGTAGACACGCATGTCCGCGCTTATGGTGCTGAAGGCTGTGAACGTAATGAGGCCTAGCGAAATAGATCTGTTACGAGACACAGAGAACCATAAGCGATGGATGATCTCTGCTCCCGCGAGACGCCAGCTTTGAATATATATTGAATTTGAAATAGTTTATATTAATAAAGTCGAGATTCATTTCATTGTACGATCATCTAGGCTTGTTTATTTGCAACAAGAATCTCACTGGCCGAATGATTATTTAGTTTACACCAATGCGCATGGTTGTAGTGTCTCCAAATAGAAAGAGCATTTTCAGGAACCATCGTACTGTCATAATTATAAGAATAAATTTAATTACATCACGTGAAATGTTAAACTAATTTACTTACAACAAACAAATGATGACCTACATAGGCATGTTTAAATATGATTATATTAGTATAATTATAGAAAAAATAAACGACGAATGATAGCAAACTTTGGCCAATTTGAATGTAATTAT